TTGTACCATTGTCGCGGCGATTGCTTCAATCCGTAAAGAGACTTCTTCAGCTTGCATACCAATTCTTCCTTTCATGTAGCTTTAAACCCCATAGGTTGTGTCATGTAGATCTCTTCTTCTAAATCTCCATGTAGAAAGGTTGTTTTCACATCCATCTGGACCAAATCCAAATCCATCTGTGCTACCAATGCTAATAAAATACCAATCGACGAATGCTTCACAACAGGTGAAAATACCTCGTTGTAATCAACGCCCTCTAGCTGTGCATATCCCTTGGCAACTAATCTGGCTTTGAAACTAATTTCCCCAATAGAAGATCCCTCTTTCTTTGCATACACCCACTTGCATCCAATAGCCTTTTTACCCTTCGGTACGTAGCTTTGCAAGTTCCCAAGTGTCGTTCTTATGAAGAGACTGCATCTCCTCCTCCATGACTTCCCTCCACCTAATCGAATCAGAACTTGACTCCACTTCCTTGAATGTAGAAGGAATCAAATCATCAACGACTTCTGCTGATAAAGCATATAAAACCATGACATCATCATATCTAGCTGGCCGACGAATATTTCTTCTTGGTCTATTAGCTGCAATGGACTCCTGAACATGACCATGTTCCTGAGTCTCAACATCCACTGTATCCTCTAAATGCCCAGCTGTCATCTCATCTCCTTCCAGTGTCACCTCCGTAGGAGGCTCGATGGATACAATGCTCTCTGGAGTAAGTGGAGTCACATCATTCTCCACCTGTTGCGATATCTCCTGAATCTTGTCTTCCTCCACCTGCTGAGGAACTTGAGGCTTCATTATGTACGCCTCGTCAAATGTGACATTCCTTCTAATAACTATCTTCTTGTCCTGTAGATCCTATAACTTGAAGCCTTTAACTCCATCTCTAAATCCCACGAAGACTGCTTTCCTCGCCCTCGGATTCAATTTACCATCACTGACATGGTAATAAGAAGGACACCCAGATATCCGAAGTGACTCATAGTCACTAGCTACCGAACCAGACCATCGTTCTAACGAAGTCTTCCCTGTATCGCAGTGCACGACAACCTATTCACAAGATGGCTCGCATAAACCAACGCCTCGGCCCAAAAGAATCAAGGCAATCCACTCTGCGTCATCATTCATCGCACCTTCTCCAGTAATGTACGGTTCAATCTCTCAGCCACCTCGTTCTGTTTCGGTGTCTCTCGAATTGTGAAGTGTCGCCTAATGCCGTGATCCCGACAAAACTACAGAAACGGATCACTCTTATACTCTCCACTGTTATCTGAACATAGAGTCTTCACCTTTCTACCTGTCTGCAGCTCCACTTTTTTTTTCCACTCCACAAAAATATCCAGGACCTGATGTTTATGTTTCATTAGGTATACCCAATTCTTCCTGGAATAGTCATCAATGAAAGTGACAAAATAGTTGGCCACACCAAATGATGTGTGCTTGGAAGGGCCCCAAACATCAGTGTGAATGTAGTCCAATATAGAAAGGATATTGTGAATAGCAGCGCTGAATTTTACTTTTGTCTTCTTCCCAAGTATGCAATGTTCACATAGTTCCATCTTGCAGGTCTTCGCACCCTTCAATAGCCCCTGCTTTGCTAATACCTGCAGGAACTTATCACCAGTGTGTCCCAATCTCATATGTCATAAGCTGGTAGCATCTTCCTCTGTGGTAATCGAAGCTGTCAGACCCCTTGTTACTGTCTTGCCCTTCAAGTAGTAAAGGTTGTTTTCCCTGACACCTCGCATCACCACCATAGACCCTTTTGTGACCTTCAGAGTCGCATTCTCCAAGATCACCTTATAGCCAGCTGCCTCTAAAGTTCTAAGTGAAATGATATTCTTCGTTAATTGAGGAACGAATCTCACTTTCTTTAGCTCCCGAGTCATCCCGTCACACATCCGGATCCGTATTATACTAATACCACCAATAAGGTATACGTGGTCATTACCCATGAGCACGACATCCCCTCTTTCAACTCCTCAAAGCTGGAGAACCAATCCCTCTTAGGAAAAATATGGTATGTAGCACCAGAATCCATCGTCCACTCCGTAGAGTCAGCGTAACAAAATGACGATAATGTAGAGCAAGAATAGCCTGAAGAATCCGTATCTGAATTGTCATCACTGGCATTGATAACATTCACTTCCGAAACTTGTACAACTTTCCCTTTATTCTTCCTGGCTTTATCTTTCAACTTTGGGCAGTCGTTCTTCCAATGTCCTTCTTCTTTGCAAAAGCAACATTGATTCCTACCAATATTTCTATGGCCACCTCTTGACTTTGATCTTGAGCGATCACCTGGACGATGGTTTGGACCACGGCCTCGAACTGCTAATGCATCTCCCGATGCCTTCTCGGAGGGTTCGCCATTACTCTTCCTCAACTCATAATTCACCAAAGCTGAGGTCATCTCCTTGTAGCTAACCGTAGTTCTTTCATTTATCATAGTGAGAACAAACATACCAAAATCATCCTCCGGCAACGAACACAATAGTAGCATCGCCTTGTCTTCATCCTCAACCATGATATCTACATTGGCCATATCCGAAATTAGCTTCGTGAAGTTGTTAACATGTTCTCGAATGGAAACTCCCCTCTTCATCTTGAATTGGTAAAACCTCTTCTTTAAGTGAAGCCAATTCTCAATGCTCTTCGTCAAATACTTCTCATTGGAAGAACGACTCATTCATTACGTCGACGTCTCGTTCATTAATACGTCATAAATAAGATCCGACATCAAGCATGGCCGAATAACTCTACAAACCCTACTATTCATGTTTTTCCCAACCTTGTCGTCCATATCAGCAGATTTCTCTTGTAACTCAAGAGTCTCCTCCAAATTCTGTGTATCCAAAGCATCCATCACCTGACACATCCACAATCCAAAATTAATCTTGCCGTCGAACTTTGGAACATTAATCTTCGTGTTATTGATGCTCAGACTCTGTATCGCCTTTAAAAGAGACGACCCCGATATGTTTGTTTCTCCCATGTTGTCGATCTAATTCTTCAAATAGAAATCCTTTAAGGTACTGTTTGGCAAAGGGTTAAGTGAGGGGTTAAGGAGACTTAACCCCTTCTTAACCTGCCAAACACAACAAATCTATATAAGGGTTAAAGTGAGTTAACCCTCCATAATTTGTCAAATATAAAAAAATATAGAAGAGTTAAGTTAACCCCTCTAGAGGGGTTAAAATGAGTTAACCCCTCAAAATGAGGGGTTTACTAATACTCCTATTTAGATGGAATAAGAGTTAACCCTTCTAATTATAAAGAAAATAGTCAAAATCATAGTTATTCCCAAACACTAAGGCCTGTTTGTTTTACTAAAAAAAGAGGGAAATCAAAGAAATGGAAAACTATTAAAATGAAGAATTGGTTTGGGAGTGTTTGGTTGGCTAAAAAAAGAAGAAAATCAAAAAAATAGAGATGAAATGATGTTAGTTGTCATATTATTATTGGATGATGTGAGTGATTTTTTAAGAAAACTAGTTTTGATGTTGTTTGGTTGGCGAAAAAAATAAGGAAATGAATTATAAGAAACTTATTTCCTGTAGTTTGTTGTTTTCTTTTGGTTTGGTTCATTCTTAAAAATAAGAAATGAAATGAGATGAGATGAGTTGTCATTGTATTATTGGGTAATGTGATCCAAGATTAAGAAAAGTGTTTTCACAACTTTTTGGGATGAAAACAAAGAAATGAAATGTTAATGAGATAAGGTGAATTGTTATAATATTTTATTGGATGATGTGAGTGATTTGAAATGATGAAAAGAGATGAGTTGAGTGATGTTTGGATGAAAATAATATTTTATTAGATGTGATGGATGAGTGGTTAGATGAAAATAATATTTTATTAGATGATGTGGATGAGTTGTTGGATGAAAATAATATTTTATTGGATGTTGTGGGTGAGTTTTAGGGATGGAAATGGAGGAAATAGTACTTTTTGATATTTTCACCTTTTCCATTTCCATTTCTTGGTTTTTCTTGGTTTTTAGGAAATAACCAAACAGGCCCTAAAACTGATCATAAGGGCTAAAATAAAACTTATTTAACGGGTTAATAATTTAGTCCTTCGGATTATCAAATGGGCTAAGTACATTAATCCTTCTCTTTAACCCCTCTTCATTAACCATTTGCCAAACGGGGCCTTAGTGAATCCTTCGAACAAGCTCCCAAATTCAACCCGGAGCTTTGATACCACTTGTTGTGCGCAGCGAAAATTTCGACAGCACCTCCGATGTGCAAGGTTCACAACAAGAGATTAGATCACAACGAAATTCTCGTTTCTCAAAGGAGACAAGAACCAAAAGCTAGATATCTCATCAAAGTGAGATATCAGCTCTTCCTCTCATCAGTTCTAAGACTGAAATATCGAGGGAACCTACAAGCTATTACAAATCACGACAAGAACATAAATTTTACGTGGTTCGGCAAATAGCCTACGTCCACGGGGCAAGGATGGGGAGATCTACTATTAGAGGGAGAGATACAACTAGGGTTTACAATCTCACAACATAAACCCTTTCACAAACTTTTAGATCCCTCACACAAATACTCTCTCAAAGGGATGCACAAATCAAAGAACAACTACAAAAAGACTTTGCTTCTTCTCTATGAATAGCTGCCAAAATCTCTGTTCTTTTGCGCACAAATCAGCCGCAGTCCCTGAGCCTCTGACTTCGCACAAAATCAGCCGCAAAACCCTTTGCTGTACTGCACACGAATCAGCCACAGCCGCCCCCTCCTTTTTCACGAAAACCTAGGGCACATCAAAGCTATATTTATAGCAGAGGAGGAATCGGGTGGGCCTGCCGCTAATTTTTTTTTTCATGCGTTCACATCATCTCTTCACGAGATATTTTTCTCGTGGTCCCCACAAAACGCGTGAAAACGCACGCGTCCACAAGAAGAAGACTGAGTGTTAATAGGGATATATCTTGTTGTCTAACATCTGTTTAATCACAGAATCATCTATCAGCATTTCCGCCTTTAGCTGTAGGTCTCGTTTCTGTTCAATGAGTGGTACCACATTTGTGAACTTCCTGCTACAAATGCTACAGCCTGCACTAGATTCATCTCACAGTTACATCAAAGAGGCTTTCTTAAGGGTGATGATATCACATATTGGTTTTTCCATTTCCTTCTGGTAAGTTTCATTATTCTATTGGCAACTATGTATTGTGTTTCATAGTGACGGTTCATACTTTCTTGTTAGAAACAGAGTGTTTTTATTTTAATCACGAAATTATCCGTTGTTCGTTGTGTTGTTCTTGAGCAGGTTCAAAGTTCAGATTCATTATCAATTCAAACAAGTAATTACCGGGATTTACAACTTGAGCCAATTGATGCATTTGCAAAGCTTGTAATCCTAGTACTAAAGGCATCCCATATATATATTCTGCATATGTGCCCTAAATATCATTGTTTGCTTATATAACAAGATAGACTATGAAGCTTTATATCACATACTTTTTGGGTCGGCTACGTAAGTCCTTTTCCCCAATTCAGTGCCATCATATCCTTTTTAATCGCTTCCATTTATGCTCCTTGGAGTTTGCCTTTAGCTCTTTTTCCCTATTATTTGCAACTTTATTAGTCCTAAATGGCACACTTATCTGTTTCCTATCTTCATTATTACATACTGAACAGGGTCTTTTTATGAATGGAAAAATATACCTACAGTTTTCTTTTGTGAATCCATTGCATATGGATATTTCTTTTCAGGCATCTTTATGCATATCTGAAATTACTGATCCTTCACCTTTTTGTATCTGTTTCTTGATTTAGCACACTTCATCAGTTCCCGGATCAACCGAAGTTGTTTTTCTGGCTAAGGTGTAATACAGATGTGAACTTCAGTTATATTTTATTGTACTGGTAATAAGTGTTATTAAAAGACAACTCTTTCCAGGTTCTGTCTCATTCTTGGAGATGCAGAACGGAAGAAAGCATTTTTCAACCCCAAGTTGTATTCCAGATTGTTTGTTAAGTGGTTTTTGGGTCTTGTTTCCTATGATCCTCTTCCTGATGCTGCCAACTTCTAGGTAAAAATTCTGTTTGCATGTTTGAACAATCATACTGTTAGTTTCTCATGTATATTTCCTCATTTGGTACTTTGAGGTGTTAACGTCTTTTGCAAATTCTTTCCACACATTACAAACCGTGAAAGTTCCTAGTTTCAGGTAGTTATTTGTTTACTTTTTGGCTGCTTCTCTTTGGAAAATAGTTAACTGGATAAATCTGCCTTATTTTTCTTTAGATTCATTGTTATATGTCTACTAGGAATTATGATGTGTGTAGTGCTACTAGGTTAGACGGTGCTCCTTGGTGTAGAAGAAAAACTCAATTATCTCATTAATGCTATTACATGTTTCATTTTGTAAGCAAAGAATATGTTAGAGAAGACCTCGAGTGCAGCCATTACATGAAGAACTTTGATACTGGCTCTCGCATTTCTATATTATCTTTTTCTTGTTATTTGAATGGATATTAGAGACAAATATATAAAATTGGATGCTTTTTATTGTGAGATATTGAGTAATCATTGTGTATGTATATGTTTTATCTTTAATATTATATTATCTATTTGAATTGGATATTCAGCACCTTTTGAGACATTTTTGTGTATGTATATGTTTTTGATTTCATTGTGAGATATTGAATAATCATTGTGTGAGATGTATATATTAAATGTAAATAGGTAGATAAATAAAGTAGTCAAAATTTAAAAAATATTAAAATACACAGTCCAAACGGTTACAACCGTTTGGGCGAAAATTAGCCCAAACGGTTGTAAAATAATATTTTATTAGATGTGATGGATGAGTGGTTAGATGAAAATAATATTTTATTAGATGATGTGGATGAGTTGTTGGATGAAAATAATATTTTATTGGATGTTGTGGGTGAGTTTTAGGGATGGAAATGGAGGAAATAGTACTTTTTGATATTTTCACCTTTTCCATTTCCATTTCTTGGTTTTTCTTGGTTTTTAGGAAATAACCAAACAGGCCCTAAAACTGATCATAAGGGCTAAAATAAAACTTATTTAACGGGTTAATAATTTAGTCCTTCGGATTATCAAATGGGCTAAGTACATTAATCCTTCTCTTTAACCCCTCTTCATTAACCATTTGCCAAACGGGGCCTTAGTGAATCCTTCGAACAAGCTCCCAAATTCAACCCGGAGCTTTGATACCACTTGTTGTGCGCAGCGAAAATTTCGACAGCACCTCCGATGTGCAAGGTTCACAACAAGAGATTAGATCACAACGAAATTCTCGTTTCTCAAAGGAGACAAGAACCAAAAGCTAGATATCTCATCAAAGTGAGATATCAGCTCTTCCTCTCATCAGTTCTAAGACTGAAATATCGAGGGAACCTACAAGCTATTACAAATCACGACAAGAACATAAATTTTACGTGGTTCGGCAAATAGCCTACGTCCACGGGGCAAGGATGGGGAGATCTACTATTAGAGGGAGAGATACAACTAGGGTTTACAATCTCACAACATAAACCCTTTCACAAACTTTTAGATCCCTCACACAAATACTCTCTCAAAGGGATGCACAAATCAAAGAACAACTACAAAAAGACTTTGCTTCTTCTCTATGAATAGCTGCCAAAATCTCTGTTCTTTTGCGCACAAATCAGCCGCAGTCCCTGAGCCTCTGACTTCGCACAAAATCAGCCGCAAAACCCTTTGCTGTACTGCACACGAATCAGCCACAGCCGCCCCCTCCTTTTTCACGAAAACCTAGGGCACATCAAAGCTATATTTATAGCAGAGGAGGAATCGGGTGGGCCTGCCGCTAATTTTTTTTTTCATGCGTTCACATCATCTCTTCACGAGATATTTTTCTCGTGGTCCCCACAAAACGCGTGAAAACGCACGCGTCCACAAGAAGAAGACTGAGTGTTAATAGGGATATATCTTGTTGTCTAACATCTGTTTAATCACAGAATCATCTATCAGCATTTCCGCCTTTAGCTGTAGGTCTCGTTTCTGTTCAATGAGTGGTACCACATTTGTGAACTTCCTGCTACAAATGCTACAGCCTGCACTAGATTCATCTCACAGTTACATCAAAGAGGCTTTCTTAAGGGTGATGATATCACATATTGGTTTTTCCATTTCCTTCTGGTAAGTTTCATTATTCTATTGGCAACTATGTATTGTGTTTCATAGTGACGGTTCATACTTTCTTGTTAGAAACAGAGTGTTTTTATTTTAATCACGAAATTATCCGTTGTTCGTTGTGTTGTTCTTGAGCAGGTTCAAAGTTCAGATTCATTATCAATTCAAACAAGTAATTACCGGGATTTACAACTTGAGCCAATTGATGCATTTGCAAAGCTTGTAATCCTAGTACTAAAGGCATCCCATATATATATTCTGCATATGTGCCCTAAATATCATTGTTTGCTTATATAACAAGATAGACTATGAAGCTTTATATCACATACTTTTTGGGTCGGCTACGTAAGTCCTTTTCCCCAATTCAGTGCCATCATATCCTTTTTAATCGCTTCCATTTATGCTCCTTGGAGTTTGCCTTTAGCTCTTTTTCCCTATTATTTGCAACTTTATTAGTCCTAAATGGCACACTTATCTGTTTCCTATCTTCATTATTACATACTGAACAGGGTCTTTTTATGAATGGAAAAATATACCTACAGTTTTCTTTTGTGAATCCATTGCATATGGATATTTCTTTTCAGGCATCTTTATGCATATCTGAAATTACTGATCCTTCACCTTTTTGTATCTGTTTCTTGATTTAGCACACTTCATCAGTTCCCGGATCAACCGAAGTTGTTTTTCTGGCTAAGGTGTAATACAGATGTGAACTTCAGTTATATTTTATTGTACTGGTAATAAGTGTTATTAAAAGACAACTCTTTCCAGGTTCTGTCTCATTCTTGGAGATGCAGAACGGAAGAAAGCATTTTTCAACCCCAAGTTGTATTCCAGATTGTTTGTTAAGTGGTTTTTGGGTCTTGTTTCCTATGATCCTCTTCCTGATGCTGCCAACTTCTAGGTAAAAATTCTGTTTGCATGTTTGAACAATCATACTGTTAGTTTCTCATGTATATTTCCTCATTTGGTACTTTGAGGTGTTAACGTCTTTTGCAAATTCTTTCCACACATTACAAACCGTGAAAGTTCCTAGTTTCAGGTAGTTATTTGTTTACTTTTTGGCTGCTTCTCTTTGGAAAATAGTTAACTGGATAAATCTGCCTTATTTTTCTTTAGATTCATTTTTTTCATGATATGATAATTCTTTTGTTTGTATATTATCACTTTACCAATTTGGAATTTCATCGAACTGAAGTATTCCTTCGTGTAGAAGAAAAACTCAATTATCTCATTAATGCTATTACATGTTTCATTTTGTAGGCAAAGGATATGTTAGAGAAGACCTCGAGTGCAGCCATTACATGAAGAACTTTGATGCTGGCTCTCGCATTTCTATATTATCTTTTTCTTGTTATTTGAATGGATATTAGAGACAAATATATAAAATTGGATGCTTTTTATTGTGAGATATTGAGTAATCATTGTGTATGTATATGTTTTATCTTTAATATTATATTATCTATTTGAATTGGATATTCAGCACCTTTTGAGACATTTTTGCGTATGTATATGTTTTTGATTTCATTGTGAGATATTGAATAATCATTGTGTGAGATGTATATATTAAATGTAAATAGGTAGATAAATAAAGTAGTCAAAATTTAAAAAATATTAAAATACACAGTCTAAACGGTTACAACCGTTTGGGCGAAAATTAGCCCAAACGGTTGTAACCACTTGGGTTACTTTCCGCCCAAACGGATGTAACCGTTTGGCTAGAAATTTGGCCAAACAGTTAAAACCGTTTGGGCGGAAATTAGCCCAAACGGTTGTAACCGTTTGGGCTAATTTCCTCTGTCCAAACGGTTATAACCGTTTGAGATTTTGTCCAAACAGTTGTAACTGTTTGGGCGACCGTTAGGGTAGATTTTCCCCCAACGACTTTAGCCCAAACGGTTCTTTTTACAGCCCAATTGGTTACAACCATTTGGGACTATGTTTTCCCAAACGGTTCCAACCGTTTGGGCTACCCTGTTTTGTACTAGTGTCTCTATATTTCACTACTATAATGTTTATGTTGTTAGGGTACACGCCAGCAAGAAAGCCTCAAACGGAGATGCAAAACACTCCCAAACGATCTTGGAATCACAGAATAAAACCAGCAAACACGATTTCAATCACAGTACTCACAGATATAACGTGGTTCACTCTTACGGAGCTACTCCACGGTGCAATGACAACACCCAATTCCTTTACATTCCTTTCGAGGTTACAAAGAAAAAAGATAAAAGAGAACACTCTCTCTTGATTAAGATACTCTCCAAGAATTCTCATAAACTCTTTCTCAAGATCTCTCAATGATATTACTTATATCTGTATCTTTCTCTCTTTTCTACTGAGATGCTTTACAAATCAAACTTAGGGGGGTATTTATAAGATTTCTCTTGGGGGTAGGTGAACACTGTAGCAGGGTGTAGGTGAGAAGGCTATCCACACAGCCTTAACGTTCTCAACAATCTCCCACTTGGAGAGTCTTCTCAACGAACTCTGTTTCTTGGTTGCATCATCCGGATGTCTTGTATTTTTTACGTCTTGCACGACCCTCAACGTTCTCAACGAAGGCCATATGAGGCTGCACACAGCCTCACCTTCTCGAGCGGAATTGGCTTGGTTAGCATATCGGCTGGATTGTGCCTCATATCAATCTTTACAAGCTTGAACTCATTCCTACTTTGTCATCTCCGTATGGCATGATGATTCACGTCAACATGCTTGTTCTGAGCATGGAATGTGTCATTCTCTGACAAGTGAATGGTACTTTGACTGTCACAATGGATGAAATATTTCTCAAAACTTACCCCAAGCTCGATAAGAAAATCTTTTAACCATAGCAACTCATTTGCTGTCTCTACTGCAGACACGTACTCGGCTTCGGTTGTTGACATAATCATAGTATCCTGTAACTTGGATCTCCAACTTATCGCTCCACCACCCAAGATGAAGATGTAGCTACTCGTGTTCCTTTGACACTAGTAGAAAACAGGACATTGGCGATGGGAAAATCCGTCACCAATGCCCCAAAATCCGTCACCAATACATATTAGTGACGGAAATGGATCTGTCGCCAATAAACCTGTCGCCAATAAGTATTGGCGACGGGTTTCCCCATCGCCAATAAGTCCAAAATCCGTCACCAATACATATTAGTGACGGAAATGGATCTGTCGCTAATAAATCCG